TTCTCAACACACACAGACCGAGGACTCTAGAGTCTAGAGAGAGAAATTTATAGAGAGAGATGATGGAGTGGGATAAGCAGCAACTGAAAGAGCAGCAAGAGATGGAGGGGAACGGGAATGGGAGTGGGAATAATGGGAATGGAGGAGTGATGTATGTGAAAGTGATGACTGATGAGCAGTTGGAGACTCTGAGGAAACAGATTGCAGTTTATGCCACCATCTGTGAGCAGCTTGTTGAGATGCACAAGAACCTCACTGCCCAGCAAGATCTTGCAGGTCCCTCTATTCTTTTCCTTTCTCTTTTAGTCCTTCCAACTTTTCATTTGTTTCCAATATGGTTCTTGTTTGTGGGTTCTTTCAGTGGTCATTTTGGTTCATTTCTTTGTTTTCCTTGATTATTTTTTTCTGATTCGTTGTTTTCCAAATGAAGGATTCTTCTTTTTTAGTAATTTTTCCCCAAAGCTTTGGCCTTTTTTTTTGTAGTTTTCCAGTTCATTTCACGCCCGGCAGTTTGTCCTCCTTGGAGTTGAAGGCTTATCTATATTTGACATGCCACGATGACGGTTTTTCAAGCCAATCGCACTTTTATGTGTTTTAACTTTTCCAACTGGCGGTCGTTCATTTGAGATACCGCCACTTTGACATTCCAGTTCCAGGAAAGTTCTTGCGGTCTTATTTCTTGCTTTTCTTTCGGGTTACTCGCTAGGGTTGATCCTTTTTACCATTGATCTCTATCTTCTTCTGGTGTTTGTTCTAAGAATTTCATCCTCCGAAATTGGTGGCGTAGGTCACGACTAAAAGCTCCTAACTTGAGATGTTGAATTTCACTTCTTTGGGCTCCTCTGTTTGGTCAGATTTAGCTCTTTGTGATATGGAAATTTAACTGATTCGGGTTTTTATTTTGTACAAGCGATATTCTACCTTAAACATCCGTCCTAGTCAATATAGTTACACTTAAAAGTATATATTTTTGTATTGAAATACATAAATTGTAAAATAGAATGATATATAAATTATAAAATACTGGAACATACTAAAAATTGTGAACACTATATAATGAGTGTTCATTCAAGTATCCAACAAATCTCATACAATTTATTGAAAAAATAAAATGCGAAATGGAAGTCATATATTTTCTTTTTAAGTGAGAGCCACAACCTTCGTGGTCTAGGCGCCATTTTTTATTTTTTTAAACACCGGTGGCCAACCGTCTAGCGTCTAGGTAGTCTTATACGGAGATTTTTAGAACAATGATTAAAATATTAACTTCAATTTGTTCTGCTTTCTCATTCACTAATGCATTTTTTCAAGGAGGACAATTATTAGTTTAGGGTATCTGAAATGACACCATACATGCTTTTGAACAAAACCATCTGCATTTGCTTTCTCAGGAGTCAGGATGGGAAATCTGTACTGCGATCCGCTGATGACATCCACCGGCCACAAAATTACCGCCAGGCAGCGGTGGACGCCAACACCAGTGCAGCTCCAAATTCTTGAGCGTTTATTCGAGCAAGGGAATGGAACTCCAAGCAAGCAGAAGATCAAGGAGATCACCACTGAGCTGAGCCAGCACGGACAAATTTCCGAAACAAATGTGTACAATTGGTTCCAGAACAGGCGCGCTCGATCAAAAAGGAAGCAGCAAAATGCAGCATGTAACCATGCTGAATCAGAAGTGGAGACGGAAGTCGACTCACCCAAGGACAAGAAAACTAGACCCGAGGAAACGTTTCAGTCCCAGCAGCACTCAGCTCAAAGGACCGAAGATTTGTGCTTCCAGAGCCCGGAGATAAGTTCTGACCTGCATTTCTTGGATCCACATGCCACTGCGGTGGATAAAATGTTCCCGTCACACAGCGGTTTAAGAAGTTCTAGGCATTTAAGCGAAATGTCATTCTATGATGAAGTGCTAGCAAACTCAAGTAAGTTATCATATTAACTATATATTACTTCTGGCTCTTGGCTTCCCATCCAATATGTCAATAATTTATCATTTTCGCAAGATACTCAACAAGCAAACAAAATACCAACAGCTGAAAATCTAAATAGGTTCCAAGTTTGCGCACGCATATGTCTTGCAGAAGAATATTACTGATTTCCATTTCTTTCAGTTTCGTGATCTATTAATAATTAACATCATACATATGAAATTTGGAGTGTCGCATTTCCATTTTTGTATGTCGATGGAACTGAACAATGCCTTTCTGTTATTTTTCTTTGAATATCTTCAATCTTCTGCCGAATTTATGTGTTAGTATGCTCATTCACAGAATTCCTAACCTCATTCGTTTTAGCTCTCAGATTCTTACAACACGTTTCACCATGAACCAAATTAGCTATTTCTTGTTTAACCATTTATACGTTTCGTATCAGTTTGATTAGAGCTTTGATCATTCCCTAGTCTAGTGAATAGCGTAGAATGTTAGACAAATGCCGAACCCCTCAATTTGAAGTTACAAAATTGGCTAGAAACGTTTAATGAGCTAGCTACGGCTGTAATTTGATTTTTTTTTTCTTTGGATGAACAAAGACGAGGAGTGCATTTTGGTAATCGACTTGGTTAACGATGTTAAACAAGTGCTCTCCCTTTCCCTTGCTCTCTCATTTACACACATGCAAAATATGTATGGAACTTTTAAGATTTGTGAAACTCTTAACACCAATGGCATCTACTTTTTCAGGGCATGAGCTGATGACCGGAAAGATGGAAGCCGGAAATTATAGTCTTTTTCAGGAGGCAGAAGACTACGGCATGACGGGTTGACGCTCATTTGGGAATGTCCGAGTTTTTGTTCTGTTTGATGAGCTATTCTGTGAAGTAGATCCCTGAGTGAGTGAGTTTGGTCCTGCTTGAATATGGAGACGTAGCAAGCCTAACCCTAGTAGAGAGCTGTGGCTCCAACTGAATTTAACTTGGAGAATGGAGAATGGAGAATGGAGAGTAGATAGATATAGTGATATATATATATATATATATTATGCTAGTATGACATGCAAAGTTGCTTTGGGGTTTTTGTGTTTTGAGCCTTGGCTAATCAATCTTGCTTTGTTAGTAGAATGAACAGTAGATATTTTATTTTGGGAAGCCAAAAATAGATAATGTGCTTTTTTTTTTTTTTTTTTTTTTGTTGGCAAAACGATAATTTAAATAATTTTTGTTTGTGTGGAGGTGAATTTAAATCTTGGTATAAAAGGACATGCATAATATTCTTGCCAACTGGCTTAATCTGCATTTGCGTGCCGAATTTATGATTTTATTATATCTTTGTTTGCAAGGAAAGGTTAGGTGTTTGTGTTAGTTGGGGGGGATGGAATGATGGAAAAGACGACATAAAGTTTGGTCTTAAAAGAGAAAAGCCGGTCATTGTCTTTGAAATTGAAGGTTCAGTACAATCATTGCATTCACTAGCAGTGAGGGGTTTGGTGCAATTACGAAAATATGTCGATTATTTTTTACGTTAATTAACATTTAAATACTAATTTAATAAGAAATTGATTTATAAAATATAATTTAAATATATAGTATTTTTAGCATTACTCTTATTCACATTTATAATGAATTATTTAAAGACTTGTATTGTCAACTCTTCGATCTCTTTCACTGTAACTACGAGTTTAATCCCCTCTTATGAAATTACGAGGAAGGCTTAAGCACAGACCCTTGCTAAAATGGCAAAATGTACCAGTAACTAATAGGATGAAGGTTAGATTCGTTGACTAAGATAGTTTGTGTGCTCATTTTGAACTTGAATTTGAATCTCTATTTCGCATTTTAACATAATTCAGAATATCACTTAATATAAACAAAAGAAAATTGATATACTCATTCGAGTTAAAAAATTTTGACAAAAAGAACAAAAAAAATCAAGTTGGGGGAATTTGAGTTTAACTTAGAAATAATGACATTTGGTGTACCAGGTTATGTCTCCGTAGATTGAAAAATTTCTCGTATGTCAATAAGAATCCATTAATAACTATTATTATACCAATATAAGTTATATAACTATCGTTAATTGGTTAAGGCTTAATAATTGAAATGCTCCTGAAATTGCCATGTAGTGTCAATTTACCCCTGAAACTGGTTTTGTCTCACTTTACCCCCTGAAACAAACATTTTAAACTATTTTGGTCTTATTTCACCTCATTCCGTTAAAGAAATGTTAATTCAAGGGTAATTTAAATATTTTTATTTGTTAAACATCTATTTACCTCTAGTCTACAGACTAAAACAATCTTAATTTCATTTTTGACAACTATAATTCAAACTCATGACTTTTGGGGTTTGTTTTAAAATAAATTATTCAATCAATAGAAAAATTTTTGACAACAAAATCATTATATCAACTAAAATAAAGGTTACACGTTTGTTCATTTCATTTGCAAGGCATCCATATACTGGTTAATGTAAACTTTGCACTTGAAAATACTCATTAAGACAGAAAGAAAACATGATAAGCCTATTCCAAGATCTCTTTCTAACTGAAATTGGCCTAACCATGAGTTTCACCCATAAAAAAATGATCTTAGATCAGTCGCACAAAATAGAATTAAAAAAAGACATTAAGTTATCTTATCCAAAGTACTTCCTATGCAAACCCCAAATTAAAAAAAATAAAATAAAATATATACAGCAAATGTGCACAATTTGCAATTTCAAATTGTTGAGTGATATATTCTAATTGGCGATAGATTAATTACAATTTCGACATTAACTTACATATTTCATGCGGTGTGTAAAAAGTGAAATGTCTAACATATTTTCAATTTTAACGTTTCTTTAATGGGATGAGATGGAGTGAGACCAAAAGAGTTTAAAATATAAGTTTCATAGGGCAAAGTAAGACAAAACCAATTTTAAAGGATAAATTGAGATTAAATGACAGTTTTAGATGACATTTTAATTAATAAGCCATTGGTTAAATTAATTTTTACCATGAAAGTAATTTGTTTAATTATATGAAAAATAATATGTTTAATTAACTTTACCATCATACAACTTCCCCAGTTGGTTTGTATTCTCTACACTAATTGGCAGCTGAAAGTACGAAGGTAGGGTGCTCCGCCAGCTCCAACAAGTTTCGAAAATTAGGGTTTTCAGCAGACTCACTCTTCTGATCGAACGCATCACTTCTACCTGCGCATCACAGTCGTCGTCTTCCATGATTTCACAATTAGGGTTTGCAGAAAAGGGCAGGAGGAAGAGGATTTGAGAGGCTTCTAGGCCTTGGCTCCGATCGCCATTGCTGGCTGAAAGAGGACTTCGTCTCGGGTAAGTTGATTTCGGGCACATAAAAAATTCCCAATTCAGTGCAAACTTTAAACTGTAATTGCCATGGATTCGGCCTTGTGTTGGCCAATGTCAATGCAGTACCTAATCCACAGAAATCGCCAAGCTTTTGTTTTTATCAATTTGTGAAAATAGGGTTTATCTTTGTAGGTTTTAATTGTTTCATGGAAAATTTGGGCAAAAATCCGGCAATGTATTTGTTGGAAATGCTTTCAAATTGTTTGATTTCGAAAATGTAGCTAAACCATTGTTTTAAAGGCGTGAGCTTTACAGTGTGAAATAAACAAACCCCTTCATGTTAAATTAAGCTTCACTGAAAGATGCAGTTGTGAGTTAGGTCAGTTGGACATCGTGCCTGCCCCGTTGCACCCTAGTTCGAAATTTTAGAGTAGTTTTTAGAATATTGTTTGTAACAAGTGCTTCGCTGAATGACACAATTATCCTGAAAAAGTTTTCTTCCAACCCTGCAATATTAGTAATTGTTTCTTTTGTGAATATGCAGATGAAGCTATAAAGGGGCGATTATATGAATCATTAGTTTGGGGGAATATGCGTTCATCTATAACTAGTTCGAAATATACGTATTTACATGACTGTAAGTGGCCTTGTGAAGCAGTTGACGTGCACCACATCATTGTAAAAAAGAGTGGTGCAAAGGGTTTCTTCAGATACTTCTTTTCTCTGGTTATTCTAGCTACCGCCTTCTATCTTTTCTTGGTTAAGGTACGCCTTTTATCCTCTTAATTTATGTCTACCAACTTATTAGGCCAACATCCAAGGCTCCAAGCTTAACTAGAAAATTAGGAACTTGAGTTTAGTTTGGTTAGAGACTTTTAGTTGCCATTCACCATTGTAGGATTTCGGATTGGTTTGTTGATGAAACTTGTTCGTGATAAAAATTTTATTCTTGATTTTATGTCTGTTTTCTTTGTTATTGGTTATCTATAAATCCATCATAACTCAGGAACTCAACATAACGATCTTATGAACAACAGGAGAAATCAGTTGTCATTGTTTTATGGAGTCTCCTTTTAAATGCATTCCTTGTAAAGTTGCTTCAGAAGAGTGTTGAGAAAGGTGAGCACCCAAGTGATAGTACTTTTTGTCCTCTGAACTGGTACATCCTGTATTATTTCACCTTCATGTGCTTACCTTGTTTAGTGTATTAATGACAGAGTCCGTAGTGATTATGCCAGCCTTTGGAGTTCAACTAGAAACTCACTATGTGAGGTAGCTTCTATTTTTGTTTTGTGGATATTCTTTGTTGATTAAGTTCTGTGTTTTTCGGCTTTTCCAATAGTCTCTTTTCTTTTCCTTCCGCGTTTTACTCTTATAGTGGAAAGGTTATTCGCCGGTTTGTTCCTATGGACAAGATTTTGAAGCCTGTGCTACTAGAATGTGTGACTCCAGTTACATGTTACTGGAGCCTGTCTTTCATTGTGCACGGGGAAGCAGAATTGGTGTTAGTGTTTAAGGTACAATTCATGCTATTGATTGGCGCGAGGTATTAGGACGCATAAATGTGGTGAAACCGCCGATCTTATATTTATTATTTGGCTTTTGAAAGTTGACTTCGTTTTCCAGGACTTGCGTCCGCCTATGAAAATGTTGGTGCCCATCTGGAAGGCCTTGTGCGCTGCCACTGGTACTAAAGGAAGCTCAAACACATGTACGGAAGATGATTGATGGAGATGATTAATTCAATTGTGCATTAGAAACCTCCATTGCTCAAGTAACGCAGAATAAAATTTGCAGAGCTAATGCATCCTCTTTGATCACTTAGTTGTTTAGAGTTCGCATTGATATGACTCGGAGGATGAACGGAGAAAATTTTGATTCGAACAAGATTCAAAGGGATTCATGTTGCAACCAGTTACACAAATCACATTGTACAATCTGCTGATTTGATTAATTGTAGCCAAAATCAATGTAAATTCAAATTTGTCCTCGTTCTTTATTCGAGTTTACACTTCTGCTTCCCCGGCCCTGTTTCTCACTTTGTTATATTTGGAGCCGAATAAGTTTCGAAATTCGTAGATAGCATTTGAGTTTTATTCGAGAGAGATGATTGAAATCGTTGTTTACCAAATGCCTGCCTTGACACCAAAGATTAGACCAACCACAAGTTGATTAAAAATCCCAGGTGCAACAACTATCATGAATGTGTTTTCGTGAAAACCCGGAATTTACTCACACGATGAGTGATGTAGACACAAAGGAATATAAGACCCGGTGACAGCAGATTACATGACAGAATGTCGTAGCTCTTCGTAGAAACCAGACTGATAAAACGAAAATTAAAAATTAATTGATATTATGTGAAGAAAGCAAATTACATGATCAATCAAGCGCTCACACAATAGAAATATCATTCTTCTGATGAAAAGGCTCGATCATTGTTTTTTTTTTTAATGGGGCATCAATTTTTGAGCATGCTATACACTAGGTATAGAGAATGAGAACAAATTTACAGCTTGAATGTGTCAATTCCGAACAGGCAGGACCGGGCGGTATGACTCTGGACCAAAATTGGATCGACTTCACTCTACCTGCTAGCCAAGTTTTAATGTCTTTCTGCACGTTCAAGACTAAGTTCATCTTGACGTAAACCATGCCACAAATGATCCGCGTTATCATTCAATGATGCAATCTTAGCTATTTGCTTATGCAACGCCTCCAAGTTGACAAGTGGGGTAGTTGTTGGTCGACCATGAGCACACTGAAAAACAAATTTTTCATAGTCTTTCGACAACCCAACATAAAAGCCTCTCCCATGCACTACAAATTCACACTCACATCCATAAGGTGTTTCTTAGCCTCTAAAGTTCACTTACGTGGAAACAGAAGTCTGCTTTAGCTCTTCAACGATGAGGTTACACTCGGAAGGAAGCAAGGAATCCAAACATAATTGCACCTAACAAGAGAAAGAAATTATTTTAAAAAATAATTATTTATTTACAAATACTAAATTCATATGTAAGCAAAACTTGTCTGGAAATTTGATATCAGGCATGAACTGTGTAAAGACGTAAAAACAGTAAAAGGTTATTTTGTCAGTATAATTATACCAACTCAAAGGTTTGACTTTCCAGTTTCTGAATGAAAATACACTCGATGGAAAGGCCTTAATGGCACCAAGTTTAAGAATCTTTAGGTCCATATATTCGAACAAGGCTAGTTTGCCTCAAGGGAGGGCCTTGAGGTTCAGGTTTACCTCTTCGTGCTTTAGAATTTAGGATTTGAAGAACTGATGGTGGTGTTGTGGATGATCCATCTATACCAGCAAGGTGAAGATTGAGCAGAAAGCTGTGTCATGCATTAGTTAACTAAAGTTGGGGAATGATAAAGAACATTGACACAAGAAGAGAGGAAAGAAGTCCTAGAATTAAAGGCACGCTTTACATTACCTGCTGAAGAAATTCCATAAGATCCGAGTCAGATAAATTGATACCTAGGATGCAGGGCACCTGCATCCCATTTAACGTGAACGTGTGAGAGGCAGTTTCATATCGTCATTACTTCAAACTAAACAAATGAAATACAGATGGGTAAATGATCTTGGTTCAACATGTTTTGAACTAATAAAAAAGGTGAATGGAAGAGTTATAATTGAGAAGTGATGGGTGCTTCACCCCAATAAGTGTGACAGCTGTTGGCTGCCTGTGGAGGAGATTCAAATTCCTGCCAAATGGTTAAATCCCAAAATTCAGGGTACACGAACAATATTGTCTCAGAAAATACAATACAATTTCATAAATGAACCATGTAAGTAGTGTCTAACTTATCATGTTTTTGTAACACCAAGCATGAAAAGCAAAATGAGGTAAAAGAAGCAACATTTAATAGATGAATACATAACAGTGAAATCAAACACCAGTACATGCATGTTAGACGCCGATTCATAACACAATTGTGTAACCGAAAACTCAAGATTGCTATTACAAGAATTTCAAATCCTTAGGTGCAGCCCAATATTCTTGTAGAGTTCATCTATCGACTCGACACTCAAATTAGCAATGCAGAAGCCTACCAAGTAGTGTTATATTCATAACTTCATAATGCTGGACATTGGCTGTAGTATCATACTCTTTTGTAAATGATAAAATGTTAGTCAATAAGAAATATGCCGGGTAAGTCATGTCAAATACCCCTTGAAGGACCCTGAACCTTCAGCAAGTGTGTTGCAGAGCCAACCCCACCCTTCAACTGGTTTAGCATAGTTATGCAGTAACTGGTAGCCAATCTCTGGCAGCACCTGAATTATGATTATAAGAATCAAAGAGTCAAGGAATACAACCATTAAACATCATTTAGCATCAGATACACTACATGCCAACTCTTGTTCAACATCCAGAAAAGTAATCGCCTTTGCTTCTCCTTCTCCAGATAACACCTAGGTAGTCCAACTAGTCATGTAAGCCAAAGTAGCAATATCATTTCCAACAGTTTAAACAGGAAAGATACTAATACCTTCTGACGCAACTCCTCCAGCTGAATCCTTTCATCTGCAGCATGCTGTAGAAAAGAATTGCGGTCAAAGTTAGAACTCCGGCTGCACTCGTTTGCATGTGAGACTTGGTATGAATGTAGCCAATGTTTTTTGAACAACTGCATGTACAGCATATTTACACTAATGCATCTATTTTGAAGACATACAATTCTGTCTTGTTCTGATAAAGTTTTTGAATGACCAAGATTTTCATATATAAACTTACATCCTAAGTCTATTCCCTCCTCTCTGAAGGCCACTTTTGGGTAAGTAAAGAACATGATCAGATACCTATTGCTGTAATCTATAAGTGAAGTGTGGGTGCCCCTTATTTAACAAGAAACTTAGTGCTGACTTACAGAAGAGCACAAGACCCAAACCAAAACTTAAATACCACCCTGAAAAAATATACAAAAAACGGACCTGGTCAATAACAGCAAGTGGAGTACCAGCCATAACTGCAATATATTTCTTATCCACCTGCCGAAGAACTCTGCAATCACTGAGGCAGTTCTTGTTGATAGATTGAGGAACTAACGAGTCAGCTGAGAGATGCAAGAATCCAGAAGAGATGTCAAGTGGATGCAAGTTTGATCACGAAGAGCTTGTGTTTTACTTGAGTTCTGCATTATAAAAAATTACATTTATAATTACAAGTTGATTAAGTGGATGCAAACTTTTGTGGCAAACAAGTATAGCGATGATCCCATCTTGACTCTCGAGCATCAACCATCCATATATATACACACATATATCATTACTCACCATGACCTGGGGACAACAATTCCTCCATTTAGTCTTGATCCTTGGAGATAAATTCTGAAACAGGGCAAGCATTAGCTAACATTATTTTGTCCAATAAATGATAAAGTAATTTATATGATAAGCATTCAAGTATTGATTGCACTTGGTGCATAATAAACATACAAGATACCGGCCACTGAGTACTGCGGTCTGGTGGTATTCCTCTTCACTTGTAAGTGAGAGGTCTTAGGTTCAATTCTCGCCAAAGGCAAATTTGAACCTCATTATTGCTAGCCCATTGTGAGGCTAAGCCAAACCCCCTCCCCCTTAGTGTAGATAATATCGTTTGTTCAAAAAAAAAAAAAAAAAAACATACAAGATACCTTTAATTGGAGCAGTAGCTTGAATCTCAGAACATGTGGACTGTTCAAACATTTCAACTTCGTGACTCTTGTTTACACCAGCCTCTATATCTTGAGATTTCTCAATATCTGCCCTGAAAGAAAATTTGACAGTTGAGAGGATAAAGTCAATAGATTAAAAGAAAATATGATGTGACGGGAAAATAATTGAAGTTCAAGTACCTGATGTAGTGGGAAATCCTTGACATAACTTGGCTTCAAATTTAGATGGTAACAACCAGAAGGTTGATGGAGATCTGTCATCTTGCTAACTTCTGCACAAAAAGGTGTATTAGCTAGTCTGAATCGATATCAGCTACTGAGGCTTAAAGGGAAAATCACATGATAATACCTGGATAAGTAGGTGCATCACGAAAGGTTTGTGCATCAGGTTTGCTGGCTGTTGTTTTCAGAGGATGACTTAATGTAAAGTACCTCCTCTTGCTTCTATAAAATGGTGGAGCAGAATGGCTTCTTCTCGATCTTCCTATGGAAGATTGATTTCATAGACAATCTTGAACTCTAAACTTATCTTTTTGTATTTTATACAAGTCAGTACCCATGTTATCTTTGCTGCACGGATGCAAACATGACCAATCCGTCTCATCAGCTAATATATTTGGGCATTCAGGAGAAAACTCACCATCTAAGTTGTGCGGTTGAAAGAATTTTCCAGAATCTAAATAATCACTAAAATCCAGTCCATGGTCTTTATGTGTAGTGCAGTGCTCTCGGCAGGACCTCTTTGATATTATATCATAAATAAATGTGCAGTTCTTTTCTTCACCATCCACAAAATACTTAATAGTTGCCCTTTTAACAGATCTATAATGCCCTTCAACTGCATTAATATCAGAGATAGGTTCAAAATCCAAATAGGTGTTTTGGGATAGGGAGGTCAAAGAGCACCAATCATTATTTAAGGTCTTTTGGCAGGAACCAAGGTTCTCTACATCAGTAACCGAACTTTCTTCATAAAACAGCTCCTCATAGTGTGGAGTGACTTTATTAAAGTCTTGAAGAAGAATCGAACTCTGTAGGCAGGTCAAACTTTGTTACAACTCTGGTTAAGAGCCGAGCAGTAGATTCCTCTTCTGGCCACAAAGTCCTTGAAAAGAAATCAAAACCCTTGCTGCCATCAAATTCTGGAATTTGTACACTGTTATAAGATCCACCCCGCCTTCTCTTGTTCCCAAAGCCATCATTTTGATATCTGGACCCATCATCCACACACAAATCCCTCTCATATAGAAGCCTTTCTTTTGAGGAACAATTCTTGAGGAACGGCTGTACTAAATATTCTACATCGCTATCAAATTCATGATGATCATAAGACACTCTACTAGTTGCTGAATCAATGCCAACACTGGAATCAACATTAAAGGGTTCATCTTGCCATTCTGAGCGAAAGATATTGTCCTCCACATTACTGGATCTTTCTGCACCAGTGGATCTATTCTCATGGATATAATCTTCATCAGAGAAACGTTTGATATCTGACTTCCAAAAATGGTCTTCCTTCTTTTGAGTTGTTGTTACCATGCATTTGTCTAGAGTATCATCCCGTGATTGAAAAGAATAAGCAGTATGAGAACTAAATTCAATCCCAATATATTGCCCTTGGAAATTGAAGGCTTCAGTATATTCAAATGGCTTTCTGACGTATCTCTTCTGAGATGTATGGTTGTCTTCTTGAATTAACATATCCATAAGGTCGGGAGAAGCCTGACAACTTTTCCTGCTCCTTCTTTTCCCAAACTTAGAGAGTTCTGACAAATCTCCATAAAGAAAATCAAGCAAGAGAAAGGATCTGCTGAATGTTTATGCTTCTTGTTCTTCTCTCACTTCTTCACTTTGGCCAGGATTGGGTTCAGGTACTCGCCTTTATTAATGGCATTATCAATAAAGGCGAGTACCTGAACCCAATCCTGGCCAAAGTGAACAAGAAGCATAAACATTCAGCAGATCGTATATGATACATAGATCACAACTCAAAGTTAAAAAGGAAAGTTACCTTAAACTCCACATATGTCTTTGACGATTCAAAGGTTAAATCATAGAATGTTTGGGGACAGCTTAAATTCAAAACATAAGCTGTGAATGCCTTAGGCCTACTTCGCTATTTTTAGACCCATCAATAGCCTTCCCTGGATCCCAGAATTGAAAACTATTGGCCAGCTGATTAAGCAATTTATGAATTGGCCCTTTGCAAATGAACCGTGAGTTAATATCTGCAGTGTCAAGGTCAAGAACAAAATATAACTCATCTCTGACCTAACACACTCCTTCTATAACTTGGTAAATATTCTCCAAAATATGGACATGGATACAGACATCCTGGAAGGCCTGCAAAATAGATGTTTCAAGAATAAGAAACAAGGATACTAATATTTAAAAAAGTACAAAATAATCTACATCATTCATATAAATCTACCTTATCAGCAAGGTTATTGCAAGGAGTAGGAAGTATCCAGAAAGTTCTAATCTGCCATCACTTATGTTCAATTCATGAAGAGCATTGGAGACCTCAGTCCCAAAAGTCCTTTTCAATAGTATCAAGGGAGAGGGAGAAGGAATTGTACGAAGAAGCTCATCCTCACTACATACATAGTGGAGTAAGCAAGTTAATAAAGAAAGAAATAAATAACAACAACTGTACATTTTTCAACAAGAAAATGTGTTTAGAAGAAACCTTTCAATGTCTACAACTTTGAAGGAAACATTTGAGTGCACAAGGGCGATCCGATGTACACATTTGTTGACAGAGTGCAATTCTTTCTTGGGGCTTCCAGTTTGTAATGGAAATCAAAAGGCAGATCAACTCGGTTTATTTCATTGCACTACCATGTTTAAGGCAGCTGAAAGCAATCTTATATAAACCACATAAAGAAAACAAAATGGTTCAGAACTGGCACCTGGATTGCATGTACTTCCTCCGAACTGGTTGATTGTAAAACAGATCACGAACAACAACTCAAGGACAAACAAGTGATTAATCAAATTCTTAATGTAGGTGGAATTATCCAGGGAAAACGCCAATAAGCATTTATCCTGGGTAATGTAACAGAACCCATCAAAGTGCTCATGGTTGATAACCTTCAATGAAATCATTTCCATAAACAAAGATGCAACATTAGAAAGTTTGACAAGCTTATATCAAGACAATAGGAACAGTAATAGGTCGGTACCTGTAGTACCCACATCCTTCCTGTTATCTATTCCAAGATACAAACATTTCCATCCCTATGAAAAATAGAGGAAAAGTCAACCAGAGAAAAACTTGCACAAAGGCCTAGAGCAATTCTGTTATGAACAACACCCAAAACAGTAACAAGCAGAGACCTTCATAACTTTTCAATACCCATTTGCTCTCCCAGAAGCTTTCGTCAAGATTTCTAACAATGACACGTTGGAAATTGAAGCCAACGCTTCTCCTTGGAAACCAAAGCTCCCGGTTGTAGCATTTGCCTCAGTAGAACAATCAAACTTTGAAGTCGCCGTTTACAACAAAATATAGCACACATCATTTATGACTGGCTACCAAAGTCACACAATATACACTAATCCAAGTCAGGCAAACTATAGTTCACTACCGTCTAGAATCATCGACTATAAAGCATTAAAAGGGAAGATGAGAAGTTTACCATATCTTTCTCCCACCAATACCAACACCAACACCAATCCATCATGACTAATCCCGCGTCCTACAAGTAACATTAACAAAATTTATCCAAGGCACGAAAAACCGAACATTTAGATTATAACCGAAAGAGGAAGATCAGCACTGACCATCATCCGCTACTTTTACATAGCATGTCCCAACACCTACGAAAACCGATACCTGAGACCATAAACAAACAGTTGTGAAGCTAATTAACTTTTTTGCCATCGTTACTACTTAAAACGACTTAATTACACATTTAAATGGCATAAAGCAATTACCTTCGTTGCGCCGGCATCCAAGCTACTGAAAATCAGCTCCTCCACAACGCTAGTCAGGTCGTGCAGAACAACTCCAGAGCGCATCGAGCTACGCACCACCCCCGGCAACGGCTTTACGCCCCTCATCGAGACCTACAACGACGACAATTTCCAATCATTTAACTTACAGAAAACGAAAAATTGTTACCTTCTTCAATTTTCCCGCACTTTCTCGGCAACCAAACAGAGACGAGGAAAATGTATTGGCGAATTGAAATGCTCCGTAGCTTACCTGAGAGAACGAATTCGGAAAATTAGGGGTCTGGGCTTTAGGTACGACGACGTCGTTTGGATGATCAGACGACGGTTCGGAGCTCTCCGACTTCGCGGGTTTGGGAAAAAAAAAAAAAAAGCGGTTCAGTGTCAGACTCCAGTTAACTGAATCTTTAACCGCCGTTTGCGCGAGTGTGACGACCCGTGAAGTTTGAGCGGGCTTTGATAATCTTACACGTGGCATGGCCTACGTGAGTCACAGTTGGGACGTCATTGGCTGATAGCAACCCTAACACGTGGCGCTTGAGCGGTATATGTCCGCTTCTATTTATTTTATAGGCGGTCTACAAATCCCTTTCATCAAATCTACCAAATCAATCAATCTGGATGTTTAAAATTTGATTCAACAATTATAAATAGAGATCTCTTTAAAAATTATAATAACTTTAATCGTTAGATTAAATTTAAAAATCTCAATTAAGTGAGTGGATAAATTTGATGAAAGGATCCTTTCCTTTTATAGAAGGCTGATGGGCGACATGTAAAAGTATTCCGCAGGTAATGTAATTCACAGATTCAAGCAGTCGTTATCCTTTTCACTTGAAGTTGATGTCTTCAGTTAAATTACGAATCTACCCCTATATTTATTTATGTTCATATAAGATAAATAGATATATAATTATTAAATAAGAGTAACATTAACCAAGTTCTTTGTGATAAAAATAAATATCTAAATTAATAAATAAGAGTAACACTCTCCATGTTAAAAATTAAAAAAAAAAGGACATGGGTAGATGAGTAATTTACTTAAACCTAACATGCTCAAGATTAAGTTTAGTTAGTATCCAATGTCCATCAAGTTAGGATTTAGACAATACAACATTATTCAATACAAAATTCAATTAACCACCACCTAAAACAAAAATCAGTCATGATTACATTACATACCCTTTCAACAAAAAAAAAGAAGAAGAGGGATTAAACCCTAAATCAACCAAAACCTTACTAATTTATCCAAGTCGGTCCAATCCAAATTACTCACTGCTGATCAGGTCGGTCAATCACTTGTAACTCAGTTGGTCAAGGTTCGAGTTTGAATCTATTAAAAAAGAAAACTCATTAATTCGGTTAATAACAAACTTGAGAAAAGATGAACTTGGCATTCATAAATGAATTAATATTAGTCCATAGATTATCTGTTATCTCACAGTTTAATGTTAATTTTCTGTTCGATTACAATATTATAATGTCACATCCCGGCCCGGGCCCCCACCACAACCCGGGCCCGATCCACCACAGTAGCACGATATTGTCCGCTTTGGGCCCCGACCACACCCTCACGGTTTTGTTTCTAGGAACTCACACGAGAACTTCCCGATGGGTCACCCATCCTGGGAGTGCTCTCGCGCGCTACTCGCTTAACTTCAGAGTTCCCATGGAACCCGAAGCCAGTGAGCTCCCAAAAGGCCTCGTGCTATTATTCGCCCAGCTTCACGTGATCGTAGCACTAAAGCATACACAGCCTGTTGTACAGACCACTTTAGGTGGTTCCGACTCGTGGGCAGGTTCAGTTGTTTAGTTATTGAGATTGAGAATTGAGCTCTAGATTCAGCCGTACAGGTCACTTTAGGTGACTCCGGCTGCCAGTAACATGTTATTGATATGGTTTATACCTGAGCACTTGCATATCATTATGAGGCTGTGATTGGCATACCTGTGAGTATGATTGGCATACCTATGAGTGTGATTGGCATACCTGTGAGTATGATTGGCATACCTGTGAGTATGATTGGCATACCTGTGAGTGTGATTGGCATACCTGTGGGTATGATTGGCATATCTTGAGCATAATTGGCATACCCTTGAGCTTGATTGACATATCTATACATACGTATATATGTTTATTTTCTGGGAAGGTATACAAGTTTTACGGAGAGGGGTTACAAAGTTTTTGAGAAGTGTTTGGATTTGGAAAAGATTTGTTTTACTGACCCACTCAATTTTGGTTTTAAATTGTCACATCTCGGCCCGGGTGGGACCACTTCCCGGGCCCGATCCACCACCGTAGAACGATATTGTCCGCTTTGGGCTTACCATTCCCTCGCGGTTTTGTTTTTGGGAACTCACGAGCAACTTCCCAGTGGGTCACCCATCATGGGATTGCTCTAGCCCTATTCTCGCTTAACTTCGGAGTTCCTACGAAACCCGAAGCCAGTGAGCTCCCAAAAGGCCTCGTGCTAGGTAGGGATGGGAATATACATTTAAGGATCACCCCTGGGCGATGTGGGATGTCACAATCCACCCCCCTTAGGGGCCCGACGTCCTCGTCGGCACACCACGGCCAGGGTTAGGCTCTGATACCAAATTGTCACATCCCGGCCAGGGTGGGACCACTTCCCGGGCCCGATCCACCACCGTAGCACGATATTGTCCGCTTTGGGCTTACCATTCCCTCGCGGTTTTGTTTTTGGGAACTCACGAGCAACTTCCCAGTGGGTCACCCATCATGGGATTGCTCTAGCCCTCTTCTCGCTTAACTTCGGAGTTCCTACGGAACCCGAAGCCAGTGAGCTCCCAAAAGGCCTCGTGCTAGGTAGGGATGGGAATATACATTTAAGGATCACCCCTGGGCGATGTGGGATGTCACAATAAAATATGTGTCAAAAACATAAAATGACAAAATTTTTATAAAGAATCTCACTTTTAAGACATTGTTTAACATTTGTCATGGAATGAATAAGCAAAAGCATGAATGCATGGTGATGCCATGGTGGCATGAGATGAGGAGAGAGTGAGTAAATTGGGGGTAAAAATAAGAAATAAAAATGGTGGGTTTAATTGTGGGGATTTTGGGTTTCTAGAACCAGAACCAGAACCAATCGAAATTATATATATATTTATATATAAGGGGAACAAACAACATTCTCCATTTTTCTTCCACCACCCTGATTTTTCTTCCACCTCTCTCTCCCCCTCTCTGAAAACCCTAATTACAGCTCTGCCGTTTTATCTCTCTCCTTTGTCTCAAGGAGACGAGACAAATTTTTAGCAATAAGGTCAGGTATTTTTTTTGCTTGCCCTCCTCTCTCTGTTCTGATCATTTTGTATTGAATTTTGATAGAATTATCGGTAATGGCAGTTGAAACTTGCATTGATTTGTTGAATTCTAGTGAATTGAGCTTTGTGGGATTTCGGATTGGTTCGGATTATTGTCCGTTTGTTTGCCCGCTTCCGATCTTGTTTGTTTGATTAATTTGAGTTGGTGTGTTTGAATTTTGCTGTGATTGTGATGCTTATGATTCAGCTGCCTTGTTGTTGTTGTTGAATTGTTGGATGCGGTTTTGATTAAGTTTCGTTTGTTTCTCGGGAAAATTTTGAGGGTTGGATAAGGGCAAGGTAATTTGTGGTTTTCCGGTTGTTTTTCATTATCTTAAGTTACTAGGATGATTGAGGAAGAAGAAAGGAACTCAATTTAGCTATGTAAATTCCCAGGACTTAGTCGAGGTTATTGTGGTTTAAATTTTATTGAAAATTGAAGCCACCAATTTGTGTATTTTGATTTGAAGTTCCTTTCTTTTCATCCGGGTTTTTTCACCAGTAAACAAACGATTTGTGTATGTTGATTTGATTTCGGATTTGGGTTTAGTAGGCCTTAGTAGGCCGCAACATTTTTAGGGTTTTTCTATTTGGGTATTTCATGTATCAAGTACTTGTCTTTTCATCGAAACTTGATTTAATTCTTATTGTTATGTAGATGGTGTGGTCATTTCCCCTCTGTGGAGAGTAATTATCATTGCAGTGTAAAAGGGGTATACTGGAAGCGTACCGATGGAGGCAAACATCTGTGATGTGAATCATTTGGACGCTGATGTCCTTCTGCCTCCACGAAAGCGTCTGCTTGCTGGATTGAAGAAACAGAGTCCGGAGGGTGATAGTGCTGCATGGCTGTCTCTAGTTGCTACTTCAGCTGCAGCTGCAGATTCAGCATCAGCTTCGGCTTCTGCATCTTCTTCTTCTTCTTCTTCGCAATCTTCAAGTGAATTTAACACTCGCCTCAACAGTATATTGAGTTCTCATAACTCTAATCTTTCGCCCGAGGAGCTGGTAGAGGTCTCGAATTCGGCTGCTGCTGCTGCAGCGAAGGCTGCAGAGGTTGCGAGAGCTGCAGCTGAGGAAAAAGCTGCAATAGCTGCAAAGGCAGTGGCTGCAGCGAAGACTGCTTTAGATTTGGTTGCCTCTTTTTCTGAAGAGGCAGCAGGCAAGGAAAAACACCTGAAAAAGAACAAGCTGAAGAAGCATGTTCCAGTTCAGCTCTTGTACAAAAAATACCAACCAATTGAAAATTGTAAGAAGGACGAAGAGTTGGCCCGGAAATTGCACAGAGCTATAAATAGCTCTCCGAGAATTACGAAGAATTCATCAAGTGCTGACGGCAAGGCTCATAAACACAAGAAGCCTAAAATTTCACATGGTTCCGAGAAAGTTAGGGTTCCCAATGGGGTAATTTTATTGGAACAGAACCCAGCATATACTTGCAATGGACATTCTGTAGCAGATAAGGTCAACGTTGAAGGCACCATCCAAGACATGTACGAAAATGGTGGACCTGATAGAGTTGGTCGAATGGAGATGGATAATGGAGAAGCAGAATCAAGTCGTACGAAGGAGAAAATTTGGGATGCTGCGAGTACCACCGGTAAAAAGAGGGGAAGAGTGAAGCTAAAAAAGTTGCCGTTGAGCAATTGCACCTTCAGGGATCAAGCAAATCTGAAAGAAGATACGGATGCAAGAGGCTCCCCATTGATTGACATGAACATGGGTAACCCTACTGCCGCAAAGAAGCCTTTGTTCCCTGTGGAGTCTTCTGCCGATAGTATGCTGCCAATTGAAGCCACACCGGTGTGGAAATGCAAGGATTTCAAGGCTCCGGCGTGCATGAATCAAAACAAAGTCATGCAATCTTGATGTCGAAACGATATTGTTGTGACAGGTGAGGTATGAGGTAGGATTGGATAGCTGAGGTAGGATTCACGATTTCACGTCTTATAGAAAACGGCCTTATTTCATTACCCTTTTTTCTTCTGCTCCTTCTGGGTTTGTAATGAACTTGAAACTGACTACTTGTAAATTTAGATGTTACATTACTTGCATCCGTCGTGGTTTACCCGCTCGTCCGAATCGCCTGTTGCTCGTGAAGCTGAGATAACAGGGATGCAATTAGAATGTCCAGTGTTTTGTTGATATGTTGCACAATAATTACTGCTGGTGTGCTCATAGATGTAAACAACTCTCATTGTCTTTGGTAATTATATTCATTTGAAATTTTTACCGTCTGAGATTGTTGTTTCATGAAACTAATGAGGTGGGTTAATTCTTTCCATGAATGGGGTAAATTCTTACAGTAATTATGAAGTGGGGGTAAATTCTTTCCATAAATGCAGAGCATTTGTCATGAAATCAATGAACTAATCCTCTGTGATCTGCTAAGTTAGGTACTTTGCTGTTGATGATCCGATCTTGGAGATGCTGTCGGAAATCGGAATATAAAAAAGAACAATGATTGTCCTTCGATTAATGTTAAACCCCTGTTTACTTTTTATAATGGAGGTGTTTAATAGTGATCTCATTTAGGTTTTGGCCTTAAACGAGTTGATTAGAAAAGACGATCAGTTCTCGACATTTGGCAGTATCAGTTTTTGGCAATTGAACTTCGTATGACACATACTTTTTTCCGGTTACATTGAAGGAATTCGAACCCTAAATTCATCATGAAAGCAGCAATTTAAACATTGTCTAGTTTTTCATATTACAATGAATGAAAATTTTAGAACAGATCGAGATTTATAACTATGAACCCTTAACCAATAATTGAATGACTAAAGATTTAATAGTTATGAATATCGATTTACATTATCAGCCAGTCTATGCTAAAAAGGAAAATTCCATATTGAACTAGTAGTACAGTTCCACACTGTAGGATTCTCTTCCCTTCAAATTTTCCTCTCCTTCAATTTCCTCCTATTTGAACAGTCGGTCACGATTATCAACATCTTGTTTTGACTTTTTTTTATTTTTATAGAAAGATAAAAATGAAAGTGAAAGAGAAATGAAGGGGATGAGAGAGGAGAAAATAACTAAAACTAACCTTTCTTATAAATAATACTAAAACTAACCTTAAAGAGCAAAACCAAAATACTTCTAAAACGTCTAAAATAATATTCTACCAACCAATCCAACAGCCACCTAAATCTCAAAAAAATATTGGGCAGGAGCTCACTGGAGAGAGCTGAGTTCGGGGTGTGGCATCCACCGCCAGAGAGGAACTCAAATGTAGGTGTTTCATTTACTGGCGAGTAAGATGTAGGAAGATTTTCACTTTGAAAATTTCTAGTATGTTTGGGTACATTTTAAACACTGAGATTTTCAATTGTTAGTGTTAACACTCAAATTGTAAGGTTAACAAACTTAACTAAATGGCCTTGCAGGATGAGCTAAAATTAAATGGACTCAAGGATACAAGTGGCTTACTCCTCAAAACTAGACTACATCCATTGTGTTGCCTTTAATATATTGATTTCAAGGCTAAATAGTGCTCGGCTAATACATTAACTTTATTCTCTCTGATTCGTCTGATCCCCATAATGGAGGTCTCTACCCCTTTATATAGGCCTTACCCTCTTGAGGTCTCTCAAACTGACGTTCAATGTGTCAACCACTTGTACTAGCTTACTGACAACTTTTCACCTATTTGGCCATGCCTTCGTCAGCGAAGTGACATTCTAGCAGTCAGATGACACGTCTTTTTAAGACCCAAGTGGCTCGAGCATCCCACTCGAACCTCAGTTACTCTACCTCGCTTTGCTAGGCACTACCCCAATTGCCCTTACGTCCCATCCTAGGTCTTTACTGTTGTCTGCACGTTGTTGAATGGTATGAGTAGCACTTGAGTAGTTATGTCCTTGAAGACTTGTGGCATAAAGCTGTCAGCATGCCCACGTGTTTTGCATGGTCAAGGTAATCCTTCTTTTGTCTTGGTTAGCCTAAGCACTAGGGTCGGCCCTCTTCAAACTCTATAGGCCTTGGGCTTCTTGGTCTTTCCCAGGCTTATGTCATTGGGTGGGCCTAAAAGGGCCAGCGTTAGCAATTAGATCCTTAATCAACAACCTAGTAACCAGACCTAACAGTAAATGGATATATTGTTAGAGCATCTCCAGTAGAAAGATGCAAATCTGAAATATCAAAATCACATTTATATTTCATTCTCCAATGGTTATCTTCTAAAAATGGATAAAAAAATATATTTATATTTACATTTTATTATACTCATTCTACCTTCCACACTTTATATTAATTTATATCTTTTGATTATCTTTAACTCATTCAATTCAACGCCTAAAATTAAGAAGGTGTTGAAAATTAAAATAAGTGTTTCAATAAATCACCCTATAAATATTTTACTCATTTTCAGCCGACATTTTGCATCTCCGCATCCCTAACGTATACTAAAAATTAAAAAATCATGATGTCAGTACATTGCCATAGTTAATAGTTTCAGAAGTTGCTGTTGTACGTCTGCAGTGACGAAAGACAGAGGCATGAAACCTTTATTTTTCCGAAGTGGGCCCGCTGTATGTTGGGGGCAGTGACCACACTTGGGTAATTTTTTTTTTTTTTTTTAATTCATTGATATTTTTATACTAAAGAAAAAAGAGTTTGGTAAAACCATATAATAGACAGTTTAATTTGAATCGAATTTATTATCCATAAAATTCGAACTTAAAACCTCTTATTTCAAGTAAAGAGAAATACCGACCGACAGATCGTAATACTAAATGGTTATTTGTATTACACACGTAGAACGTAACTTTCAGATGCAAAAGATAATAAAAACTCATTTCATTTGTCAATTGATTTGTTATAAATCAATTTATTTATTAATGTTTGGGACCAGCCCGCCCGCTTCCCACGCGATCGAACAATCGAAAAGATAAACGAACATGTACTGGTGGAACGTTACGTCACATAAATAAAAAAGTACGAAGTTGTTGTAGTTTCATCTTCCATTCTCAAGAAATTAGGAATAGGATTAGAGAGCAAAGCAAAAGTCAAGAAAGGATTAAGAAATCTAAAACCCTAAATCAAGAAGGAAAGTCATCAATCATCATCAGTATACAAGGTGTGGGAACACATACATGTGTATACAAGCCACCAGGGGCATATATCCAAAACGACAGTCGAATTCTCTATCGAATTTTTTGACGTTGTTTTTCTCACAAAAATCGTTACTAATTTACAACTCTTAATAGTTATAGTTAATAAAAAAATAATGATTCTTATTAGTCGAGTAACAAACAAAATTAAATCGCAATCAATAGGGTCGTACGTGCGTGCGGAGTGGAGTTGTTCGGAAGCCTTAGAAATGGTGTGGTAGGTGTTGCCAGCATCGTCATCCTTCAATCTTTTTCTTCACTTGCCAACCTTAATATGCGGGTTGCTCATCCCAACATTCACCTTTTCCACATTTGACTTGCTTTTCGTCTCGATCTGGTTCGAAGTACTGCGATTGATCCACGGATGTTGCAGGCACTGCTGGGCCGTTGGCCGCTTCTCTGGTGCGAAGTCGAAAATTGGACAAAGGAACTCTGCAAACTCCCGAGCATCGGTCTCTGAAAATTTGTACCTATCCATCAGTATTTTATCAAGTGACCAAAACTTCAGCCTTCGGATTCTCTTTAGATCACCATGTCGGTCAAAGAAGTCCTTGGAACGAGCTCCGCTAATCGCTACCTGAAAACCCAAGCATAAGAGACGAATGGCTTGGAGAAATATACGTACGATGAAGGATTAAAATATCACCTTTCGAGGCATCTTTCCAAGGAGTTCCATCATCAATGCAAGGTGGTCCTGAAATCAATCCAACAAATATTTCGATTGCAAACCAGTAAGCACAAGGCAGAGGGAAATAGAGTACTCTCTACAAAACATGACCAATAGCACAAATTTGACAAACTCCAAGTAATTCACAAGAAGTAAAGACAGTCGATAACATTAACCAAATTCAAAATGTTAAATTGTTCGTAGAGAGAAATTCCCGTCTACATGTATTAGAATTATCTTGGGAGCTGGGGTTCAAAGCTTTTAAAAGGCAAAAAATGGGGTTTATTCAATTTTCAAATATGGAAAAATGGAGAATATTTATAACTTTTTTTTGCGACAAATTCATCAGTATGCTATACAAACATTCACGACATTGTAATAAAACTTTAATACAATGGTGTAAAAGTGAAACCATCTTTACCTCATCCTCACTAAAGCCTTGTCCCACCTTTGGAGCGAACAACATGTCGCCAGTCGCAAGTTCAAATGCAGTGCAGGCAAATGACCACATATCAACTGGGTATGAGTAACCAGATCGCAGTATAACTTCAGGAGCTCTATACTGCCTTGTTTGAATCTCTTCTGCAAGTTGCTTGTTGGCCCAACATCCATTTCCGAAATCAACAACCTTGCACTTTACATCAATCCCATCTAGGTTTCTTTCAGGCTTGGGAGGTTCATTACCTCCCATAGATTCTCTTCTCAACGAAATCTTAGCAACTGCCCTCCTTGCCCTCCTTTTCAACTTTTTCTCAATAAGAGTCATGGTGGCTCCACCGTTTAGGTTCCCTTCAGGTCTTTCTAGAATTGGTGTGAGGCCAGCCCTGACTGGATCTTTGGCAGGATCGATGGTGTTACAAAGAAGGATGTTTTCAGGTTTTAGGTCAGTGTGGATGATACCAAGTTCTCCATGCAAATAGTCGAGACCTATCAATATGCATTTGCAGATCTCCCTAACTTTATTTAATTTAAGGCCTTTGTAACGGTTATGCTTGATCAGCCGAAGTAAGCTATCACCAAGAAATTCAAGGACCATGCACTGATGCTGCCCGTTCGGGCCTGCGTGCTTAAAATGGTCAATCAGCCGCACAACACACTTGGAGTGCGTGGGGTCACCGTCTGCGATATTGGAAAGAATTGCAATCTCATGAAGAGCAGCTTGAGCAAACTGCGCTGCACTTTTCTGAATCTTAAGAGCAACGTACGTCTAAGAAATACAAAACAGACATAAGATGACGCAACAATCGGATTAACTGAAGTAACATATTATTCTTTCCTACGAATCATCTACTTCATGCAGATGCATGGAGCAACGAAAGAGCCAAAAATGGAAGTAGTGAACCAAAATTTACAATCGTAACATGAAAACACGGAGAAATTATGCATTCAGCGTTACTGCATATACAGAACATATGAAGATAATGTATTGTTGACAAAAATTAAATCTTCAGCCTATATCCAAAGGTGATCAAATATCGAATCGAAAACAATCTAAAAGGGTTGAAAATTAAATCAAATCATACATCAACAATAAAAAATGCATGGAAAAATGCAAATTCGAATAGATTAAGGAAGATCTTAAACATTTAAGTATCAGAATATACAGACAAATGCTAAAGTCGATAAACAAATGTAAATTATAAATGAAAAGCAAATAAGTTTCCCGATTTACATGTAATCCAGAAAAGATGTCATACCAATAACTAATAATAAGGAGAAACATTTAATGACACAAAAAAAAAAAATGAATGAAACGAAGAAGAAGCTTGGCTTACAGAGGTGGTGGTGTCGTAAGCGAGCCAGACGGTGGAGAACTCACCCCAACCCAGCTTCCTCTGCGCCACGTAGCGGCCGCCGTTGAACTGATCGCCGACCCTGACGGCGTGGTAGCCTCCTTTCCTGTAGGAGTCGATGCCCTCATCGTCCTCCTCCGACCCGGATGAAGATGAGCACGACATGGCGTTTGATCAACAGGGTTTCCTTCCTCTTCCGATCCAAATTCGAAATGGGTTTCCTGAATCCGAACCCAACAATCGAAAAGCAACGACCTTTTCTGCGATTTCGACAATGGAAGGCGATTTGAAATGATGGGTAAAAGCTAAAAATGGGAAGTTTGCTGGATTTGAATCGACGACTCCGTTGCAATGAGAAAGGAGACTCACCCACTCTTCCTTGTGTTTCTCTCTCTACTTTCTCTGTCTATGTCTGAGATTAAAATGGAGGATTGTGTGGTCTTCAACAGGAAGCCTTCCTCTCTCTCTCCCTCTCTCCCCTCTGATGTCTCCCCACTATTTTCTCTTTGCTTTCCTTCTTTTTTTTTCTAGTCGGTTGCTATTGCTGGCACTTTCCCTGGGTGCGGTGGGTCTTTCCGAGGAAAATGGGTGTTTTTCTCATTTTGCCCCTTCGTGATGGGGACCTTTTTACGACTCCGAATTTAATTTTTAATTGTTAACGGATAAACGTTGGAATAATTAGTTAATAATAAGAAAAATTAATAAACATAGTTTGAAAATTTTGAATTTTAATGACAAGGACAAAATAAAAAGTAAAGTGAATAGTAACATGATTGACATTTTAGTGTAAAAATGTGATTTTTCGTTAAAGTGAACCGTATCAGAAGTTTTTCATTAAAGTTTCCTTAGTAGCATTGTTTAGTGATATTATGATATTTTTTTTTAATTATAAACGAAAAATTTAAGTTTGACTCACATAAATGACAATGACATATCATATTTGTACAGAGTTTAATACTTAAACAGAAGCTGACTTTTGTGTGGCTCAATATCTACAAAGATATACAAATATAGTTCATCGTCTACATCTTATACTTTAAAATATTACACTATTTTTTTATTGTGATGGTGTCAACTTACAAAATTGGAGATTTTAGGTTTTTGTTTTGTTTTATGGGAAATCACTAAAAAAGAAGATGAGTAAGAGGTGGCAATATAAGGGGGATTGGGTGGTTGTACTCATTAGGTGGAGTGAAGTGATCGATTTTTATGTGGAGTTGGAAAGGGGTTGATGATGGTTTGATGGGTGTTAGCCACCTGCTCAATAATCTTTTATTTCTTTATGTCTATTCCCATTTATAATAAAGTCTAAATCCTGAAATATTTGGGGCGGTACAAGTCCTTGTTTGGTTTATCCTTTGTTCCAACAAGAGATATATGATCATGAGTAGAAATTCAATTCAGGATGTCGACGTAAATATTTTTTACGAGTTAATCTACAAATTCTGTTGTTTGTTGTTGTGTTGAGTAATTAAAACCGTAGGTGTCAACAAATCTAATAAAGTATACCGTATTAGTTTGGTGTGCGATGATGTGAAGATAAGAGAATCTCACATTAATGCAGGGAAAAATATTGCAAAGGCTTATAAAAGGTTCAACTACTTCTCATATTGGCAATTAGTTTTATAGTGGAATCTCAATTTTTTTCATGGTATCAGAGCATATTGTCTTGCGTCTAAAGCCTAAGGATCACTCGTGTTCCATGTCACTTAATTTTTGTTGTCCATGTGTTAGGTTTGAAAATTTATTACACGTAAAGTCGTTATGTTGAGAGTATTAATTTCACATTGACAAATACTTATATGTAATTAAATTAATTATTTTGTAACGAAGCTCGGTCAACCAGTCTCTTGGCCATAACAAGAACCTTATCCTGCCCATGCAGTCAATTAGTAATTTGAATGATTGATACGCAACGTGACTAAGAGTCCATGATTTCTGGATCACTACACGTGTCATGAATTAGGCTGGTGATTGGGCCTAGATTTTTATAGTATTGGTCCATCGGTTGATCTTGTTGGGCTTCCTGCCTTATTAAACCTTATTCAGCTCAAAAGGTTCTTGGGCTATATTTAACCGTAGCATGTCTCCAATATTGGCCCATATTCCGAGGGTTCACCTGCCTCATGCGGGCGAGCTGCGTGTATTTTTATCGCGAGAATCCAATGGGTAATTTCTTCGGAAATAGTTTTTCTCATTATCTTCAAGTGATTGTGATGCTTCTCATTTTATTTATATCCGTTGAATGAATTTAAATTTTGAAATTACTTAAAAATGATGAGCAAAAATGCATCTTAAATTCTTCAAAAAGGTTTCTCTCAGTCCACGTATTATAGATGTTGAAAATGCATTTGATGGTTTACCTTTTTGTTTTACTTTATGGTTAAATCCAATTTATTTAATCTTAGTTATTAAATTAGTGACTGAATAATATTACAATATTAGCACTAATTGAATTGTTTAGCTTGAAAAAAATAAAGAATTAATATAAAATAGGGGCACTTAGATAGTGATAATATTATCAATATGCGACATATATTAGTACTATTTACATTTAAAAAATGCAAAAAACAAAAGAAAAATTGTTTTGGTGCATAAAGTTGTGGACTTGTCGGTGGCAATTGTTTGAGTACTTCCAGACTTTTCAATTTCTGAATTTCTTTTTCGATATTAAAAATAAAAAATATAACAGTGGAAATCAAATTAAAAGCTAAAAGATCCGTAGTGCTACATAGCATTAAAATTCTACTCACAAAAATGGTGAGGATGTTCCTCATTTTTCTACACCCTTCTTTGACATTACCCAATATCGAAGACAATTTTTTATTGATGGTCCATCATGTGGGTCTGTCGATTTTAGGCCGGTCTCTTGCTTGGCTTGGGCTGGGTGCCGATCAAAATGCTAGGCTGGAGTGGATATCTTGGGTGCCGGGCTAGTTTTTTGGTTGGGTGCTGGCCTATCAGTTCCCCGATGAAACTGCTCTAAAGTCCTACTCACAAAATGGTGAGGATGTTCCTCATTTTTCTACACCCTTCTTTGACATTACCCTATATCGAAGACAATTTTTTATTGATTCCAACATGAAATTGAAAAACTCGAAATTCCTCCTGTTTGAAATTGCATATGGTATGAAGCAATTTTGTTTATATACGTTTTTGTTAGAAGTGCTTTATAAAAATAAAAATAAAAACGTTAATCCAAGTTCTTTCTAGAAAAACATTTACATCCTGAATAAGCACCTACGATCCAGAATCATGAAAAACTCTAAATCCTAAACCCTAATAAAAACCCTCGTAAAAAGCGGTTATGTAAAACCCCAAACTCTAAACCCTAGTAAAAATTGTTTTTACAATTGTCAAAACTCACTTTTAACCTTTTCAAAAACAGTCTTGAACAAGTACCTACTCAATCCACCGAAATCAAGTGTAGATGTTACGCACTTCAAAAGACAAAAATAGGAAGAATATCTACTGTCTCAGTGATCCTCACACGTTGCATTAAGTTGTTACAATTGGTGAAAATAATCAGCAAATGTAGCATTAAAATACAATTCCGCAGCAGCAAATTAAAACTGAATTGATTATTAACCCCCTCAAGGGGCTCAACCAAAATCAAGCTTTGGGTGCAATAATCTCAGCCACTGAAGACCAAGTCCCAGACACCCCAATCACCACACCCACCACCACAATACACCCATCCAAACCGCTCCCAAACCAACTCAGCTCATCCCTAAACACCATCAGATGAAACAGAGCAGGCAGCACAAACCCCAGCGCCACACACACGCTGCTCCCCACCAGCGACAAAAAATCTGCAAAATTCGGCACCAGCAGCGCCACCAGGCTCACCCCAAAAACCAGCAGCCACCGCACCCACAGGGAGTAGGTGGAGCCGCAGAACCGCCGCTCCACCACTTCGAAAACCGGGTTCATCATTAATGGGAGAGTGAAGAACAGGTTTATGCACAAACCCAGCTGGACCAGCGTGCTTACTAAGCCCTGCCCGAAATTGGTGGTGATTATGTCTTTGGTTTCTTCCCCAAATGCAAAGTAACCCAGAACTCCGAATGATCCGTAGATCAGAGCTATGAATGCCATGCACAATGCCAGGACTTTCCCGAAATTCTCTTTGTTTTTGGCTTCGGATTCGAGGGGGAGGATCATTCCGATTCCCTCGAAGGCGTAAACCGCCACGCCGAGGCCGTAGAAGAAGACGGAGAAGCCGCCGAACGCCTGCAGAGCCGGTTTGTTTTGGAGGAAGATTATGACGTCTTCTACCATTACAACTCCCATGGCGCCGAGGTCGACGACGTCGGCGAAAATGCTCAGAGGGGCGAGATGGGTCAGGGTGGGAATCGAATTCAGACCCAACTGGAATGGGAAACAACCCCAGAGGTAGATTGATTTCGGGGTCAGACCAAGAATCCGGTCCGGGCCGGAGTAATTGAAGACGAAGGCTAAAGTGTTTGATATGAAGATTAGGTAGCTGATGCAGAACCCGGCCTGGGCGAGGACGATCATGACGTCGACGGAGAACCGGCCGATTGGGCCACAGACGGCGAAACCAAGGTCGCCGAAAGACGCGATCTTTGAGAGGCCGCCGCCGTGGAGGGAGTCGAGCTTGCGGCGGGTGTGGATTAGGAGCATCATACAGTGGTAGGTTAGGAAGGCGACGGAGAAGAGCATGAGGGAGCCGAAGACCCAGCCAGTTTTCTTGAAGGTGTAGGGTAGACCCAGCACGCCGGCGCCGACGATGGCGATGAAGACGTTGGCGAAGGTTTTGGATTGGGAGGAGAGCTTGCTGGGTTTGGAGAGGAGTGGAGTGTCTTCTCGGGGGAAGGGAGGTAGGGTGTTGGTGGAGGAGCTGGCTTCTTTGTCGAACACCACCATGGCTGCTGCCGCTCTGTGCCGCTGGGTGGACAATTGCAAGTTCCTAATTTTCTAGGGGTGGAAGTGAGAAATTTGGAAATTTGGGGGTTTGGGTTTTGGGATTTTGATTGGGAAGAGGGAGTAATAGAATTTGGAGATTGGATTGGAGTGAGAATTGGTGGAAATTGGGATTTGGGAAAGATGATTTTTTTTTTGGGTAAAAGTTGGGAAAGATGATGGGTATGGGGATGTGGGGGGATGCTGGGTAGCTGGGTATTCTATTTCTATTTGAGCAAGTTATTGGAAGCGGCCAAAAAGTCAAATAAGAATAATCGGCATTTATCCAAAGACCAACATTGAAAATCTATAGCATAAATATCTAAACCACTAAACCAAATCTTAGCATATAAAATTTCACACTTCTTGGTACTTTCCCATTCTCACACTCTCGTTTTTGCATACCAATCGTAACCTAAACCCTCGTGAGTGCGGCACACACCTTTTTGTTTGTTTCGGAGCTGTTTTGACGGAGCGTACTAAACTCACTACGTATCACACTTCTTGCGGCACGAGTTGACAACAATCATGTATTACCTGTGTTCGCGCCCAGACTCAAAGGGTGTGTGACGCGGCTTGGAGTCTTGCAATTTGAGCAAGCGGATCCAAGGTGTATTTAGTTGAGTCAAGACTATATGGGTGCGTTTGTTGCATCGGACTATCTCGAACTGGACTAATTTTAGGGATTAAGCTGGACTGGCTTAGACGAGACTAAACTGAACTAATTTAGTGAAGCGTTTGGTGCAGTGTCAGACTAAGAAGTAGGATTCTAATATTATATTATTTAATCTATATCTATAATATTTTATTATTTACTTAATATATATTTATTAATATTCTATTATTAATTTATCTTTTATTTCCTAGAATCTTTCTTTCTAGCTAACCTCTTTTTTTTTTTCCCTGTCGTCTCTCTCCCCTCTCCTCTGTGTATCCAAGTTTCTTCGCTCCTTTTCTCCCTCTGTTGCACAGACTGTTCGAATTAAAATCACAAAAAATGGAGACTTGCCTTCCCCCGAAAAACCCCAACCCTTCCCTCTCAAGCTTAGCATCGCCAATTCAATGGCAGCCATGGTGAGTTTTCATGTTCAGCTCATTCTCTCTCTTCCCTTAGTTTTTCCTTTCAAATCCCTCTCTCTCTTCCCTTTGCCTCTTTTCCCATCCAACTTCACTTGTTCTTCCATGGGTGGGGATTGAAGTTGCAGACGGCACGGGTGGGTGGGGCTGGGTATGGTCGTGGGCAGGGATTGGAGTTGCAGACGGCAAAGGGTGGGTGGAGGAAGACGAGATGGATGAACCCAACCATCGAAAATCGAGGTCCAGGTCGATGTCGTCGAAAATTGAAGACAGAGATGGATGAACCAGCCGTCAAAATCAAGGTCGAGGTCTATGCCGTAAAAAATTGGAGACCGAGATGGATGAACCTAGCCGTAAAAAAATTTCTATGTTCCAAGTTCCAGCTTTCATTGAAGCCTATGTCGTAGAAAATCGAGGTCGATGAACCCAGGGCGGTGAAGCAGATGAAGGCAATAAAGGATGCAACAAGAGTGGACGAAGGCGAAAGAGGATGATGGAAGGTCTTAGCTAAACCCGTGGGTGTTGGGGTCTCTCGCTAAGACCGGCTAATGAAGCCGTTTGTGAAAGCGAGTCCCACTTAGTGCCATTAATCTTAGTCCCGTAAGCCACCAAACACAAGACTACAATCCAATCCAATCCAATCCAGTAAAGGCTAAGAAGGGTAAACAAACGCCCCCTATGAGTATTAGGTGTTTTCACAAACCCCTTCCATCAATCTTTGACGAAAAAACACCATTCCATCAATCTAATCTTGCAATCAAAACCCCAATCCCTTTTTAAATTATTTATTTATTTTAAGGGTAATGTTAGGGGAGAACAAATTTTTAAACTAAATTTTGCAAATTATGTGATGTGGTTGTTGATGATTGAATTATTATTAAGTGTTGATTAACGTGCTTTTTTTCTACTGATGACACATTATATGATTTGCAAATTTAATCTACCCACAGTTACTCTAATTTTAAATATCATAACAAAGGATCCTCATTATTTTTTGTACTGTATTTGGATTATAATTATAATTTTAATTGAAATCTTGGTAGAACAAACCTAACTTTGTTTTGGAGTTCATGAGAGACGGGCTAAATTACAGGTGTCTTTTGAATGTTCCGTACACTAATTCTCATTGATATGGGCACACAAGCACCAGAAGAAATGAATTTTCTAATTTTCTACCATTTTTTAATTTTAGGACCTTTCTGTTGAATTCACATAACTTGAATTGAACCTACAAAAACAACAAAGACGGATGCGTGAACATTTCCAACTTTTCAACCAATTAATATATAAACAAAGAGCCGTCTTCAAGAGAGACAATATGACGTACGACGTATCATCAGTTGCATACAATCACATTACGAAAGATATACGAAAATCACCATTTCTGGTCAAAGGCCTAAAGCCAGATGCCTAAACACATTATCCAGTTCCTATCCTACCATGGTTGGCCCACTTCACTTTCCTTGCACCCACCCATCATCAAAACATGAACATCAAATGTTGATGCAACATGAAAGAAACCATGATTAAAATCATCTCTTTCATCAGCCCGAAGGCGCCACGACCATTGGTACCTTTGCCATACGGTAGGGCAAGAGACCTGTTCGTGGGTTCGGGAAGTTTGATGAACTACTGGTCGCTCTCCTCACAAACCACAACTAATAACATCCTCCAACTCTTATTAACAGCTCAAACGCTTCACCCAATCAATTTTCCATATACACACATATATAAGACACTACTGTAGAAACTAGAACCACCAACCCCTTTGTTCTCCCTCCGTTGTTTCCAAATTTCCGAAACTCAATTCCATCCTACCCCTTCAACTCAAACCTCTAATAACGTATCAACGCAATAGAATTTTAATTGATACTGTCTGTTTTCTGATCATTAAACAAACTCAAGATGTTAAAACAATCACAAACTGAAATTTCCAGCCATAGCTTCTCCCGTATCCCTTCCGGGAAACCACGTCCCAACCTGGCCAACTAAATGTACTCTTAACCATATCCAAATGACATAAACAAACAGAAAAAGAAAAATCTCAATTCTACCTAGGATCAAAGCACACTGATATTTGAAACCGAGCACGGCATTTTTCATTCAATCAACATGATGAATTTCTTAAGTTACTAATCACGACACTCAAATGCATAGACAGAAACATCATAAGCAAAACAAGGCTAGTTTAACGAAACGAAAGCCGTCCTCGTTCCTCATTCAAATCAAAATCTACCATGAAATCACAAGCTGAAAGGAGCTACTCAATTACACTAATCCCATGAACATCACTAACACAATCATTGATAATCAAACTTTCCAACAACATCGTACCAGTCAAAACCTTAAACCCAACAAAAAGACGCATGCTTTCCCCAAAACAACAATCAGAATCAAACCTAGGGTTTCAAAATTGGAGATTTTCCTCCCAAATCATTCCAATTCCTTAACAACCTTAATCCCCATAGAATTAGCCGTACCAATAACCGACTTACATATGGACTCCAACGGCATGTACTGGCAATACGGGTCGGACTGCTTCACCTTCGCGATCTCGTACACGTGCCTCACCGATAGCGTCGACGCCACCGCGTGTCCTGGACGACTGCTGCCAGACTCGATCCCGGCGGCCTTCTTCAAGTACCAGGTGACGGACGGCGACCTCACAGTGAACTCGAAGGTGTTGTCTTTGAAGGCGGTGATGATCACCGCCATGGGGGTTTCGGGTTTGTACTTTTGGGTCCGGGCGTTGAAGTCCTTGCAGAAGGCCATCAGGTTTAGCCTGTATTGACCCAGAGCGGGACCCACCGGAGCTACGGGTCGGGCGGCTCCCGCCGGGACTGTAAGGCGGATCGTCGCCGCAACGGGTCGTCGGGTTAGGATTTCCTTCAGGGTTGCCATGGGTTTTGCTGCTCGACTACAAACGCTCACGGCTCACTCACTTTGCAGGTGTGGGGTCTTTGGGAAATGGAGAGTGAAGCAAGTCGGAGCAGGCCTTGTTGGGCTGGGCCGCTGGTTTAATACTCATTGGCCCAGACCATTATCATCACTTTAGTTTTTCATTTATAATCTTTAGGTTTTTTAGGACCCTAATATGAGGTTTTCGGTACGTTATTCCAAGTGGTTGGAAAGAAAACAGACTTGCAGTGCAAATAAGTTTAATTTTCTTGATCGTGGATTAGAGTAATTTAGAATATTGTCCCGTTAAGGAGTCAATGTCGATATCAATTGCATGACTTTACAATAAGCAGTAACTCAAGGACAAGAAAATGAGAGGGAAAGGGAAAAAGGCTTTATACATGATCCATATTTGTTAAAAGTTCTACATATAGGAGGACTACTTGTAGAGTTTGCTATTTAAATCCTATAACCAAGTTGAAGGTAAGCTGACCGGTGCAAGAGAGCCTTGCAGCAACTTATGCAGTTCTAACATTAAAAAAAAATTCTGATTTTAAAGAATCAAATTCGAGATTGTTAATCGTATCTCAAATTGTACAGGCGTATGGTTAAAAGAAATCTGGAAGGCGCGGCCGCGGCAGGGTGCAGGAGCGACTCAGAAAAATCCCCGACAGGGGGTGTAAGCTCCATCTGTATCCATGCAAGTCCATCTGTTCAAATGGTGCTTAAGACACCCTTGAGAAGGTCCAACCCTTCAGCTGAAATGCTCCTTCTCTTGTGGGATTTAGATATTTCGGTTTTAGGAGGTGGATCTTCGGAGAAACAGACCACGACAACAGTGAGGTTATCGCACGTGTTTCGTTGGAGCGCTTCCTTGACAAGCGCTTTTGAACATCTCTCAGGATCATTGTGCTGCATGAGCTCCTTCCTCACCATTGTAACTGCGCACTGGCTGCTCATCACATCCCACAAGCCATCACAGCCCATTATCAAGAACTCGTCTTCTTCTGTTAGGACAATTTCCTCCAACTCTGGCTCGGAGCTCAAGGGGCTTTTTGAACCTTTTGAGCCCTTGATATGCCAGTCTCCAAGAGCACGCGCTACGGATAGTTGGCCATTGAGGTAGCCATCATAGATGACACCACCCAGCTTTTCAATTCTTAATCTTTCAGAGGTGCAGTTAGGTTTGTGATCTTTAGATAGCTCAATTGCCCTTCCCCGCTTGCCCAACACAGCTCGACAGTCCCCAGCATTAGCGATTAGCATGGTCCTGAAAGCATACAGCAGCATTCGAGATAAAGTAAAAATTTGTAGATGCAAAGTTTAATCATATTGTTTCGACTTTTTCAATGATTAATCAGCGCCAACAAACGTAATTACAGATCTTAATGTTGATGATCATAGACAGATAGATCAAGTGTAATTGCTCACCTTCCTAAGATCAGGGCAGTCAAGGCAGTGGTACCGGAGGACTTGTCAACAGAGCTAGCATCTGCAAAAGCATGATCAGCCTTCACAAAAGCGCTTCTAACTGCCTTTTTAATGCCAGATGGGAAGTGAGAGTCTTCAACGATGAATTTAAGGATGTTGCTTTTGATGAATGACGCTGCATCAACACCATTATGTCCATCAAAGACCTGTGGAAATCAACAAAATTTCAGTAAGAGTTCAATTTATAAGATGGTCTTGTCAAAAAGAAACTATGGAAAATTCTAAGTATGGTTGTCCCTGCATAAAAAAGTACCACTCAAAAAGAAATCAACTAGTCCAAGTTACGTACGCCATAAAATGCCCCAGGAGAAGGCAAGTTTTCAATTTCACCAATGTGATCATGGAGATTATCTACGCAACTGTGCTCATCCTCCATGTACTGTTTAGGTCCTTTCTCAGAGCAGCTTCCTGAACGGAATACAAATACGTACTCAGCTGTCTCACTTGCCGGTGACTTCAATCCCATATTTCCAATATCTGAATCCTATGAAAAAGGACAGCGTAGAGGAATAATTAATTAATTTTTTTCTTCTTCTGGATAAGATGTTAATCCATTTAAGCATACTAATTAAGGCATTTTGTGTCAGTTAAGCATTGTATCCTTGACCTCAGAAAGTTTCTCTATATGCAACAGAAACATGGATTGCATGCTACAAGGATCAATAAGGATCCCATAAGGCATTACCCTCTAGAACAACTATCAATGCATTTCTTTGATTTCCATTTGAGGCGTGCCAATCTGCACAGTTTCGTTAAGAAAAAACCAGATATTTTGCAGACATTATCCCATCAAATTTCAGGGTTGGCACATTAAGATAACAGTTGAACAAGTTTACTGGTAATTCTCTGACCACTCCAACACGTCGAAAAATTGTTTCCTTTTTGAATCTAGCATCATTCTCTAAATATTACGCACAAAACCCAGATTCATTTCTGCTGTTATCATTCAAATTCCTCCACAATGCAATAAATACATCAGTAGTACAATTCATTCTTTCCTGATTTACTTCCCAGTTCCCACTAAACACAATCAAACACATGTTCTTAATTAACAATGTAAAATCGACCCTTTTCGCGCCCGGTATCTATCTCTGATCTCTCCGGTTTTGATGAAGAAAAAGAATGTGCATTGTGCATAAATGCATATAAAGCACAATCATTTGCATACCCAATTCATAAAAAAATGCAGATTAAGAATAAAAATGAAGCTTCGCTCAGCTTACTGATTCGGTCAACAACGCATAGCTAGTGCAATTTCGCATAACCGAGAGGTTTCTCGGAGGCTTTCCGGTAGGAATGTGGTTCGAATTGGCCAAAGCGTCGACGTTTTGGTCTTCCATGATCGGCATTCCACCTCCCTTTAAGCACCCAACATCCAATCTGGTGACCTGTAGCGAGATATCTGCAGTTCCTGAAGCCATTAATCTCTCCTTCCTAACCCATCAATCTCTCTCTCAACCCTTTTCAACTAAACCACCATAACTTGAGCCAAAAGGCAAAAGCAGCTGTCACACAACCCCCATTTGCTTACAGAAAAAGCACTTCTCCACAATCAATGCCTCCAAAAGCCAAAACCCAGCTATCAAAAACCATCAAGCGCTTGATCCAAGATTCAGAATTTCACATAACAGATCAAGAAAGCAAGCTTCTTCTGCAACTCCAAGCCTCTGTTTTTCCAAAAGATTTGATTTTTCGAGTCGTTCCGGTGAATACAGATCGAAATTTACAAAACCCAGATCAAGAATTCAGCAGAAAAGCAAGAATTCAAAATCCCAAATGAAGTAATTCGAGAAAGATATACAGACGTGGGAAGAAAAACAGAGAGCCTAAGACCATAGCATAGCAGTAGGGAAGGGGGAACCGTTGGAGGAGGAAAGAGAGAGATAACTTTGCGTATGATGTGTAGCTGGTTGACTGGCGATTCCAGCTTTTCCGGTCGACATTGTAGCGCCAAGCAAGGAAGGGGGAGTTGGGGTACTGACACGTGTAAGCCTTTGTGGAAATGAGTTATTGGTATTATTGTGGTAGTTCTTTAATCTTGGATCTCTTTAGAAACAGATTTTTCAATGTGACCGGCACATAAGGTGCTGCACGAAATGTCATTATACAAATGGTGAAAATATGTGTGTTAAAAAAGTTAATAACTTAAAAATAAAAATTTTCATGATTTACATAAAAACACGTGACATACCACTTGTGTTCAATTAAATAATCGTATTTCAGTCCTCATCCTCACTCTCACCTGTCATACTAATAGCTTCCCCTTAGTTACCTTTGAGTTACAACTTGCCAAATATTAGCTTCCTTCCCTTTAAATGCTGGATAGGAGTTTATAAGGTGCTTATAACTTACAGTGCATTAACAGGGACCACAAGTGCAAAGAAATATAGTGGTTGTGGATTGTCGTTTTCTTTTGAGATTTTCCTTGTGACCATTTAGGCTTGGTCGTTGTTGTTAACTAATAATTAGTTGACAGGAAATAATGGTTATGTTTGAGATTATTAGGTAATCAACTATAAAAAAACAAGTTTGAATACCAATTTGATTTGGTATTCAAAAGATATAGTATTTGGAATCATCATTTAGCATAAACCAAACGAAACTGGCATGAACTGAATTGTACGATTTTAGTAATAAATTTAAGTAGAACCGCATTGAACTGGACTGTTAATATTTTTTGATTTCGGTTCCAGTTTAGGAGTGGAACCCTGTCGAATTGAACCGTGCTACGGAGCCACGAGGTGGGGAGAGGTTAGGCCAATGGATCTTTTATGCTTAAGGTAGTATATCTCAAAAGAGTGAGTGTTTAGGGTTTGTATGTGTAGTAAAAGCTTACCAAAGTTTGCTGGAGATGAGGTATTTATAGAGAGGTGGCCGACCTATGTGTAGGATTTTGCCCTACACTTGGCGACTTCCCATTGGCCAATGTTATGTCAATCGTAGGATGAATGATGAAATAATATTACAAAGATATTAATTAGATTATAATATCTTGGGATGATGATGGAGGATTCCTTACTTGATTAAATTGATCTTCAATTGGGAATATATTAAAGATATGATTTGGTAATTCATCATATCTTTAATGCATTTGACTTTTTCATGCCACGAGCACGAGAGCTCTGAGTAGTCGTGTTCGTTGCTTGAATTTCCAGGGATGCTAAGCTGCGCGTGAGAATATTTGTGTGCCCTACCCATTTAATGAGGACAATCTAATCTTCTTCGGGATAAAGTTCACGTGTCACCTTTAAGATTTTTTGCTCCACACTAACTTGCCCTGGTAGTTGATAAGTGTTTTTTTTTTTTCCTTCAAATTGGCATGCATGTCTTTGAATTGACTCTAGTGGAATATTGTATATGACAAATGAATTGAAATGTCGAATACTTCAGAACCAAAAGGAGCTTCTCCACCACCATAAAAAAAAACTTTTTCTTTCTGTTGAAAATAATATAACTTGTAATTTAGTTATTTATATCTTTAATAATTTATTCAAACTAAAGTTAAAATCATCGTTCCCAAATTAAAATAAGCATTGTTTTTAAAACTCCAAATAAAAGTTTTTCATTTTTTTTCAAAATTGTAATATTATTACTTAGTGGAAAAAAG